AAGAACAGCTGCAATCAATTTTACTAGATGCTGCTTTAGAAGATGCTATAGGAAGAAAAACTTCAAATCCAGCAGATGATGACAGTTCCATTGGTGCAGATGAAAGAAGTCAATCCCCAGAATCTTCCGCCAACCACCAGAAGAACTCACCAGCATCTTCAGCACCAACGACCACTCTGACCACACATTTCAATTTCACAAATGTATTTTGCAACTATTAAAATAGAACATGTGCAATTTTCACGACGGCATCCCGCAAGTTCTAGCTAGCCCTTTCTATTGCGGATTGTGGAATGTTGTATCACGTTCCTACAGTACCGCAGTACCCCAAACGTCATCGTGATGAGATGATGTGGACTGACTGACTCCCACGAATGCATTTGAGATTCGATTTCGCATGTTTGCAGTATATACATCTCGGTATAATAGTGTATTGATCAAATGTTTACCACGATGAAACTTCTTCATTCGACGACATGTCGACGGATATTCCCTGCACAAAGAAGGTTTATGCCGCCCTCGTCTGCCTCCACACCGCCACCAGAAAAGGTAAAAGTTGCAGTCTTCGGATCAGGACGAATGGGAACGATCCGATCTCAACTCCTTTATGCGAATCCCAAGATGGAACTCGTTGGTATTGTGGATACAGCGTCCACAAACAATGAGAACCCAGCTCAGTTTCTGGCGTCATCGCTTGAAACTGAAGCATATTCCAGTCTTTCAGATCTTGTTGTCAACAATACATCGAATCAACTTGACGGTATTGTCTGCTGCACTCCAACGCATACCCATGCATCAGTCGTCCAAGAAGCTTTAGAACTGGAAACCACTAGAGGGATGTTTGTGGAGAAACCTGTTGACGAATCTGCATCCAAAATCAAGTCCCTTTTTGAGCACGTAAAGAAAGATGTCAGTAGGAACTTTCAGTTATGTTGTGGATTTCAACGACGGTTCGATCCATCCTATCAAGATTTGCTCGAGACAGTTCGATCAGGCGCTATCGGCAAACCACTCAATATCAATATTTTCTTTGGTGACCATCCCGTTCCAGATTTGGAATTCTTGAAAGAAGGAGGGGGCATATTCATGGACTTGTCAGCGCATGATGTCGATTTTGTGTTGCAAGTCATGGGACAGAATCAAGAGACAGGGATCACTGGTGCTGATATTGTGGAAAGCGTGTTTGCGAGTGGCACATCTTCCGTTCCAGAGCTAGACGAAATAGGGGTTCACGACAATGCTACAATGACCATGAAATTTCAGAGTGGTACGTGTGATGCATCAGACATTGCTTTCTAATATGGACGAGAGCGAATCAAGAAACGGCACTAACTTCCACTTATCCCTTCTCTGAGGAATGCAACAGGATCGGTAGCCACAATCTTTATGAGTCGATCGGCATCCTACGGCTACGACCAACGATGTGAAATCTTTGGTACGGAAGGACTATGCCAGGTCGAGAACATAAAGGAAACATCAGTTGTTCTATCAAACAAGGATGGCATCCACCAATCTAAATATCTCCATAGTTTCCCTCAGCGTTTCGAAAAAGCCTTTGGAATTGAAATGGATATCTTTGCAGATGTCCTATTAGGACAACACGCATGGCCAATTACCGAAGACGATTGCATTCGGGTACAAAAAATTGCTGATGCCGCACAGGAATCCTGCCGAACGGGACAACTAGTGCACTTGTGAGAGACTTTGTTGTACCAACTCAGCAGTAGTCACAGTGATAGAGAGGTATAATGCCTGTGGAAATTACACCATTCCGTCTGCGAATATTCCTCACAATCCCGATCCGTAGCAACCAGTCGTGATGGATTTCTTCTTATCTCCATCATCTCTCTACTTCCCATGACATAATAGTTACTTAGCCGTCGGCTCTCCACTCCCCATTGACACAAACAAAGCATACTTCTCGATCGCATTTATCCAACAGTGGGTGCGAGAAGAAGAAAGTTGCTCTGGTGACCTGATCCCCTTCGATACGGTCCACCCCATGCCCACTTCGAATAGCCGCAATTTCAGCAACCAAGTTTCTCCATTGCCCCTCAGCTTCTGGATCTGTCCTTAATTGTTGTAGATAGCATTCCGTATCTCCTGGACTTAGGTCGAGAGGCACAAAATGTTGCACAAATCCAGCTCGATCATTCGCCAAACCCAATTCCGTGAGCTGATTCAGCTTGGCTTGTAACGATTGAGAGGTCGTCTGAAGTAATTCAACGTCAGATGGTCCATCAGATGGGTAGTACACATTGGCTTGAGATTGCGTTGGCGGAGGAGCAGCTACTGGAGCTACAGCTGCACTGGCTCGGTTGGCGACTCCCGGCGTAGCTCCTGATGTGTTTCGGTTGTTCCTTCTGCTCGTCTTGCCCATGATATGTTCAGTTATCTTGGTGGCTGGCCTTGCGTGCTTAGAATCCTTTCTGCAGTATTGACAGACTGTGTAAATGCCTCAGGTAGCCGATGCGTTATTACCTTTCGATCTGAATAATGTAATGCGATGCGGATATGGAAGATGATAGTGATGATATGACATCAATATTGCTGTGCGCATACCGGGTACAGTAGGCAATGATTGATTGGGGAGGAAGAAAGAGACTGCGCCGGCCGCGCCGATGTGTACCCTGCAACATTCGACTTAAACGAACATCAAGGTTGGGTTTTAGAACGGATGCATGATGCGTGATGGTACAGTAGACCGAGTGTACGGTACCTACGATACTTGTATTCATTCGATTGGAGACCGATGAGACATGCTTGCTCTCGCCTGTTCTGAGTCCGCTCTTACTGGCCCGTCACGTAAAAAACGTAGTGGCGCGCCTGCCAGGACATTCCTTTGCGAGCTGGTCAAGCCTCCTTCAAATCGAACGGGTCGTGTTGGACACATGGTGGTGCCACCCGCAATGATCGGT